TCCCATTTCTGTTTGAATTACAAAATGGACATCAGAAATTGGCTTAAAAGGTCTAAGGATTTATTAAAACGAAATAGCGATGAAAGAACTGCAGCCGATGGTGCTGCTGGCGACCCTGCACCTGCCGTTGCAGCAGCACGCCTTAATGTCACAAGCTTGACCTCGGCAAACCCCGGGGCTGAGTTAGCGATGATCTTGGGGTTAATAAACCCAAGCAGGTGAAGCTGGATCGTTATCCAGGGAGATTGTTTTCAGGAAAGAAGCGCACTTTTGCCGCTGCATGGTACACAACAGACCATGGCTTGAATATTCGTTAAAAGCAGACGCAGCCTTTTGTTTCCCCTGTAGTTTAAAGTCAATACGTCTTCATCTGATGCGGCTTTTACTGTCAAAGGTTTTTGCGACTGGAAACACGCATTACAGACTCAAAAAGCATCAAAAGAACACATTTCATGTGAGAGTTTGTGGAGAGAGAGAGAGAGAGAGATACGCGAGGAAACAAATAAGGAAATGAGTACTTTGGTGCAGATCAGCTGGCACGGAGCCGTTATTAGTGTCAGCTGTCGTTGATATTATAGCTTTTTTAGCTGTCAACCAACTCCCTCTCAGAGGTGACCACGATTCACTCCACAGCATGTCCGAGTGCATTGCATAGGAAAATGAACCATGCCCAAGGCGGGCTAAACAGTTCATCGTCTCCGTCTCTACTATTTCTCTCCGAGTGCAGCGATGCGGAAGCTGCCATCCGTAACCAGTGTGCCTTGCTCGTGATTTACCAGTGTCTGTGCTGCCACGCACACAATGTTTCAAAGTGGTTTCTATGTTGCCCTTTATTTGTGTATGTTTGCGATAAGTGTGCGTCTTTACGCAATGCTGTTGGCCTTGCTGTTTGATATATTGTGCCGCAGGCCCGCAGCACGTGACGGTTTTGTGTGCCCTCCCATGAAAATCATATGCCCTCCCTTTAGATTTGTTCTGGCGCCGGGTCTGCTCGGGTCTAACTCATGGTCTAACTAACCTTATTTAACAGAAAATAAAATGGAAACAACAGGGCTTGGGAGCAGTGGTCGCACTCGCGTTAACCGAATCCCCCCCGTCAGCGCGAGTGATAGACAAATTGTGCACTCGACGGGTAGTAATGGATTATGACGGAAATGTTACGATCCTGTCCGTCAAAATGACTGACAACGAAAAAGTCTAAAGCCACCACTGCTTGGGACTGGGAGAAAGAAACGATGTGATATTTGGGCCCATTTTCGCTACAATGAGGCGGAGAAAAAAAGCGAATGCATTGTTTTATCAGAAGAGAAGCAATGTGGCCATAACACAGCTGGTAAAAACACCACAAACCTGAGCAGATACTCTCTGCAAAGCTTCTTAATCATTCAACCTGTGTTTTTCATCAAATAAGGACAAGATATAATCTTATTTATTTATATACTAAAATGACAAATTATTGGTTTTGGCTAGACTAGTTTGACTGAAATGTTCTATATAATCTGATGACTAAAAAAGACTCAACAGTTTAAATAGACTAAAATAATTTGTTTTCTTTGACTAAAATAAGACTAAAATGCTCAGACTTTTAGTCGACTAAAACTTGACTAAATAAAAACAGGATGAAGGTGACTAAATATGACTAAAACTAAAAAGAAAATTTAACACAGGACTAAGACTAAAACTAAATAAAAAAATAGCTGACGAAATTAACACTAGACCCCACGCAGCATTCTCATCTGTTTGTCATGAACTGGTGTCATTTTCGGGTTGCTAACAATCGCCATTGTAACACATAAACACACATCAGAGCACAGTGGGCTCACAGGGAGGGGGGGGGGAGCAGGAGCTCCAACAAGGCGTTTGGGACAGAGAGTGAATACACATACTATACAGAGAGATGTATGAGAAACCAATGTGAGTTTGGAACATTGAACAATTAAATATATTCTAGTAGACCTCAACAATGGAATTATGATCAGTAGAAATGGCCATGACATGGGAGCTTTAATATCTGGCAGTTACCTCTGCGTGTGAATAGATGGCATTACAAGCTTTAGATCCAAAACCAGTTGATGCTGTACTCATACACCCAGTATGTAATGTAACCATATGAAAAAGCATGTTTACTGATCTAAAAAATAACTATGTGAATGATTTAAAATGTTATTTTACACACTATCCTGTCTTGTATAGTTCCCCCAAAAAATAATAGGACAAATGAAGTGGTTATTTTCTGGAACAATTATTAATGTATTTCCTGCAGAGACCAGGTAAAAGTCAACTTAATCACCTTAATATTCCTCTGGGAGCATTTCTGTGATTATTTCCTAAGAGGCTAAGGCTAATTGCCAATATGCCTGACCGGTGACCTGAAAAACGAAAGCTCTGAGGGGTTGTGGACTTTTAAGAAGTCCTCAGCATTATTATTTCAAATCATGTTTTTTTTTAAATACACACATCTATGTGCATGCCAGCAGCTGACCTTGAGTGATGAAAGAAAACTTTTTATTTGAATTTCTCCTTCGTGTCTCCAAAACGATTGTTCATAGTTGCAAAAGCCAATATTCGTAGGACTTGCCATTATATGTATTTGTATATATTTATGTGACGCATGCAATTACAGAATTGTGGGTAATTGCCCGGAAGACAATAATTACTTAAAATGACTCACCATCACCAAGCTGCACCAAGATAATTATGCCCCAGTGACTTTAGCTTAAATTGGCCACCAGGAGGAGGTTGTGTATCTCCCATGCGTATTAACTGTGTGATGCATTTCGTGCTGAATCACAGCCCTGAAAAAGTTACAAAAAGCAATTGCAATTTAAGGGTTGGAAATTCCACCATCTAGAAATAGTTTCATTGCAGTGTTATTACATTGTTTATTTATAATTGCACATTGTTTTCAGTTCCAATGTGTTTTTTTAACCCTTTCATGCATTGTGGTCACAACAGACTGCTATTTACATGCTGTTTTCTTGTATATGCATGGGGATGGTAGAGTTGCTCATCAGGCACCACAGTGGATTTTATTATAATATTTGTGTATTGTATTTTATAGTTTTTGCATAATATATCATTGGTTTGTTAAACATATATTACTTAAAAATCTGTTTTTAAAAAATGTCTTTTTTTCATGCATAAAGATGAAAATATCCTTAGTTTGTTGTAATTCATGCATGAAGGAGTTAATACATCACACACTGATGGAACATCACTATATTGTAATTATGTATACCGGCTTTTTCTATCAAAAATGTTCGGGGTCGGTCAGGGGGTACTTGGCTGAGAAAGGTTTGAGAAGCACTGATCTAGCAGATATGCTATTGGATTTTGCCGATTACTTTATCCAACCTGGTCTCACCAGAATGCGTGACTCCACCACGACTCCTTAACACCCAGTGCGTGGTGGAGTCACGAACTTTGCTACATTTACGTGTCTGCACCACGCAAACAACCCCAATGTAAAGTGAATGAGGCTCCTTTGTCGTGGTGCACACACGCATTTCTACAATGTCCAGCAGTGAGCTTTTATTCTATAAAACGTTTTTCAAATCTACTTTATAGCTTGTAGTAACTCACGGGAGGCTTCTTTTATTTTTATTTTTATTCATAATAATTTGTATTTTTCGTCAGAATGTATTATGGTGCATTAGTTACAAATTTTTGTTCTCAAAAAACAGTGCATTGTGTGTAATACAACTGTGCTTTTTATTAAATTAGTTACACAACATTGATTGGTTTAAATTGTGTACAATGCTTTTGTAATTTTCCCCTTCGATTCGGAGAAACAAATATTTGTTCAGTTTAGGATGGCCGAAGACACTACACTACCCAGAATCCTTAGCTATTGTTCCGCTTTGCCTCAAGCTCTGTGATTGGTTGACCTCCAACTGCAAAAATGACCTCCAACTGCAAAAATGTTATCTTCATTGACTTATAACATATGAGCCTAACGGAACGGCATGTCATGCTCATGAATTAAATGTGCAAAACATGAAGATCACTGATTCGAAGACACTTAAGAGACTGCTTAAAGGATGTTGAGTAAATACATTTACTCAGGCACTACTGGAATAATATCTTGTCTTATTGTGTTATATTACATTACATTACATTGCATTTAGGTGACGCTTTTATTCAAAGCGACTTACAATAAGTGCGTTCGACCAACGAAATACAAACTTGAAGAAAACAGAATCATATAAGTACATCAGGTTTCATAGAGCAAAAACATTTCAAGTGCTACTCAACTGGCTTTAGGTATTGTATTTCACTGTAGTAAGTAATAAGTAAGTAATACTTTATTTATATATTTATATAGCAACACGAATGTACAAAGTGCTTTACATACAACACAATACACTCTAAAATGTAGAATAAGGCATAAAACACAGCATGTAAAACATAGAATAAAACACCAATGAAAAACAGCTACAAACTCAGCTCCTCCTCCGACGCCCCAAAGGCCTGTCGGAAAAGGTGAGTCTTTAGCTGCCCCTTAAAAATCTCCACTGAGACAGAGGCTCTTAGTTTCTGGGGGAGTTCATTCCAAAGCCTTGAACCACCGCCTCAAAGGCACGGTCCCCCTTAGTTTTTAACCTCGTTCGGGGCACCCTTAAGAGGCCTTGCTCGGAGGACCTCAGGGCCCGGGTTGACCTGTGAGGGTGGATAAGGTCGTTGATGTAGGCTGGGGCTTGGCCATGGACAGCTCTCTATAGGCGCTTTCACACTGCGGTACTTTTCCCACAAAGGTTCATGTGAACTTAGTTCATGTGAACTATTTAGTTCTCATGAACTAAGTACAGATTGCGTTCACACTGGAATAAGTCCCTGGGGGAGGATTAGGCAAATGAAGCCGCTGACGTCACTTGTTCTTCTTCTGCTTTGGGTTTACTGGCAGGCCGCAAACCACTTCACGGCGTATACAGTAGGTGGCGGTATGCACTTTAAAGTTGCAATCCGCCAAAAACCGAGAGAAGAAGAACCAAGATAAGAACAACAACACAAACTTTCCGACCTCAGACATGATGGAGTTGACTGATGTTGTAGTTTTTGTGCTCGTGTTATACAGCGTTGTAACCGAGTTATTTAAGCCACAAAAGCAGATCTACACCACCTCAAATGAAATAGCAACGCTGCTTCGGAAGCGAAGACGGTTAAGAAGCGATATCAAAAGGATTGGACGACGGAATGCACGCTCTCTGGCCTTGTTTGACCGTAGGGCGGCTGAGGATGATGAGCGTTATTACGCCATAAGAACAGCAATGGTAAATTATCAGTAAATCATAATACTATCTAATGTAAGATTTGTGGAGTTATGTGGGTCATTCCAGAATTGGAGGACATTTCATGTCCCCCATATCCAAAGATCTTGGTGACCAACTTGCAAGTCAAATATAACATTTGAAATAGGGATTTTATGTACTTTTGTTGGTATTATTCTATTGATATATGTCTCGTAATGGTAAAATCAATTTGTTAAATCATAAACACATTTTAAATAACAGTAATTTTGCACAGAAGGTGTGTCCCTCAACATGCGTTTACAACAACCTGATCTCACCAGAATGCGTGACTCCACCACGACTCCTTAACACCGCATTGCGTGGTGGAGTCACGCATTCTGCTACATTTACGTGTCGGCACCACGCAAAAAAACCCAATGTAAAGTGAATGAGGCTCTTTTGTCGTGGTGCACACACGCATTTCTACAACGTCCCGCAGTGAGCTTTTATTCTATAAAACGTTTTTTAAATCTACTTTATAGCTTGTAGTAACTCACGGGAGGCTTCTTTTATTTTATTTGTATTCATAATCATTTTTATTTTTCGTCAGAATGTAAAAATTACATTAGTTACGAATTTTTGTTCTCAAAAAACAGTGCATTGTGTGTAATACAACTGTGATTTTTATTAAATTAGTTAGTTTTTAAGGAAGGCCAGAGCTTCAGCTGTGTCCATAGATTGTTCCCTTTAGTTAACGTTATTTAAAAGATAATGATCATGTCCCCTTTATTGTATTACGAGCGTCCATTCCCATTGGATAACGGAGAATTTTACACCCGGAAGTAAGTATTCTCCTTACTGTCGATTGATTTTACAGTGATATCTGCACTACTCATCGACTAAAAAACACCAGATTATCCTTGTTAATTACACAACATTGATTGGTTTAAATTGTGTACAATGCTTTTGTATTTTTCCCCTTCGATTCGGAGAAATGAATATTTTTTCGGAGTTTTTGAATGGCAGAAGACACTACACTACCCAGATTCCTCAGCTATCGTTTGGGACTACACCATGTGCTTAGCTTGACAAACCCCTTGATCAGTCCTCAAGCTCTGTGATTGGTTGACCTCCAACTGCATTCCATATGAAAAAAAACGTTTCCTAAAAGATAAAATCATACTTTATTCAGCAGTGCTTTCTTTACTCTTTGAAAGTCATCACATGAATGCATTGTAATAAATGGTTTGGCTGCATTAAATATTACACATCTATCGTAGTTCTTTATTTATCTACACTATAGAGATCGGGCATCAGAATAGACCGGAAACTATTCTTTTACCGTTCTGTTTTAATTTCACAATAAAGTTATTAGTAATAATCTGTTTTGATATTATTGTTTTTTATTAACTACTAGACCGCTGGGTCATGTTAAGACCATATTTTCTGTGTTGCTGTGGGGTTTTTCCATCGCTTTTGTGTTACAAATATCAAAACAATAACAAAATGTATCCGTCGTAAACTAAACCAGAAACAGCAGTATATTTTATTTTGTTAACACTTTAAACTTGACAGTTTTTTTAACCCGCACCTCCTACTGGTTAAAGCACGTTATTACACGTTTGGAGTAATTGCAATGCAGGTAGATTATGTTGCTTTTAATGACTGTTTAAAAATGCCTTTTTCTTAATGTCTTTCATTTTTGTAAAGCACTTTTGAATGTGTTATATTTGATGAAAACATTTAAATATTAAGAGTACATACAAAATAGTGGGAAAGTAGAAGGTCAATGATATAAATATAGAATAGAAAATATCAAGAAGATACTGTAAATAATATCTACAATAAAACAGTTTAGTGCCTGATAGGAGGATGTGCAAAACAGACAAACTAATAAGGCTTTATTTAAACATTAAAGAATACTTTAGGCTAAGGTCTTCTTTTAAATAAGAAAAAAGCTTTGGGGGTATCTATCTACAGATACATATTAAGCCTGACAAAGTACTTAACGTCTAATATATTGCATGGTTTGTTTTGGAACTTGACAATCAACTTTCCTGCAATGTTAACTATGTTGAAGCACTTATTTTAACCGATATTATACATATTTATTATACTCTTATAAGATGTTAGATATAATAATAAATGTACAGAATATGACAGTTTAATGGTAGAGGTACACACATATTGATAGATGTCTTAATGCACTGTTGAGGAACCTGTGACCCAAGTTTTTCATTCATTGCATAACTACACCGTAGTTGTGTATATGATATGTCAATAAACCTTTGAAAATCTTGAAATCTTGAAAGGGATGTGCAAAATATCAATTATATAGTCTTTAATGAACGATTAGAGAATAACGAGTAATGCATATGCTTCATACGGATCTGCAGATAAATGTTTAGTCTTCTCAAGCACCAACTATCAAATATCTCTCCTGATTGTTGGCACTTGACAATCACCTTCACTGAATTTTACTCAGGTGTAACTAAAGTCTGATTTAAGGGTTGTTTATATTTCACATCATTAATCCAAATCTGTAAAGTAACTAAAATAAATGTAGTGGAGTAAAAACACCACATTAACCTTAAAGAAAGCCCTCAGGATGATAAAAGACCCCCATCACCCCAGCCACAAACTGTTCATGTCTACTGCCGTCTGGCAGGCGGTACCGCAGCATCCGGACTAAAACCTCCAGACTCAGGGACAGCTTCATCCCACAGGCCAGAAGACTATTAAACACCTGAACTTAGAAACAACATCCATAACATTCATCTGGCTGCTACTTAGAAATTATTGATCTAATATATCATATTCACAATATAGTGACTGCTTTTTTGTCTTTTGTTTTCTTAGTTATGTTCTCTTTTATATGTGTGTGTTATGTGTTATGTGTAACGTTGCTGCCTTCTTGGCCAGGTCAGCATTGAAAATTAGATTGTATCTCAATGCTTTTATCTGGTTAAATAAAGGTTAAATACAAATTAAAAAAGATTCCAATCAATCTTGTATATAGACTCTTATTGCACTATTTCACTATTTTTTCTGTGTATCTGTTGTATTGTGTTGCACTGTTGGAGGAGCCTGCGACCTAAGGGGGGGGGGGGGGGGGGGATAGGACACGTTCGATTCCTGTTTTGAATAGTGTGCCGTCAATGGGTTTCATTCCATTTCAAGGTGCTTTTTGACACTCCGTGTAAACTTCGCGCACTGCCACTCCAACATCCAATCACAGAGCTTGAGGACTGATCACGGGGTTTGTCAAGCTAAGCACATGGTGTAGTCCCAAACGATAGCTGAGGATTCTGGGTAGTGTAGTGTCTTCTGCCATTCAAAAACTCCGAAAAAATATTCGTTTCTCCGAATCGAAGGGGACAAATACAAAAGCATTGTACACAATTTAAACCAATCAATGTTGTGTAATTAACAAGGATAATTTGGTGTTTTTGAGTTGATGAGTAGTTCAGATATCACTGTAAAATCAATCGACAGTAAGGAGATACTTACTTCCGGGTGTAAAATTCTCCGTTATCCAATGGGAATGGACGCTCGTAATACAATAAAGGGGACATGATCATTATCTTTTAAATAACGTTAACTAAAGGGAACAATCTATTTGACACAGCTGAAGCTCTGGCCTTCCTTAAAAACGAACTAATTTAATAAAAATCACAGTTGCATTACACACAATGCACTGTTTTTTGAGAACAAAAATTCGTAACTAATGTAATTTTTACATTCTGACGAAAAATAAAAATGATTATGAATACAAATAAAATAAAAGAAGCCTCCCGTGAGTTACTACAAGCTATAAAGTAGATTTTAAAAACGTTTTATAGAATAAAAGCTCACTGCGGGACGTTGTAGAAATGCGTGTGTGCACCACGACAAAAGAGCCTCATTCACTTTACATTGTTTTTTTTTGCGTGGTGCCGACACGTAAATGTAACGGAATGCGTGACTCCACCACGCAATGTGGTGTTAAGGAGTCGTGGTGGAGTCACGCATTCTGGTGAGATCAGGTTGGTTTACAATCTTCTCAGTCTTAAAAGAGTCTGGCACTCTGACCCACTCAACCCTGTTACTGATATTATCAGAATAAAGCATATTAATTTCAAAGTTATCTTTCTTGCATTAGATATCCAAGTTTGTCCTTGCCTTGAAAATAGCATTACGTGCTACATCTAGCAATAATTCCTGAGGTTAAAGCTCAAATTAGCATTGATTTTTAGAGTAACAGGGGTAATTCTTCATTGGAAAATATACATTTGATGCCTAGCTGGGCAAATCACTTTTTTTGATGGTTTATTATCTGTTTTTCCTAAATACATTTTTTATCAAATTAAAGGTTCATTTTTCAAAAATGTTGGTGTCTAAATTGTCCTCCAATTCTGGAATGACCCATGTGGAGTTAATTTGTGCCTTTGTATGTGTTCCAGATATGCGAATACTACGGTGCGCGTCGTATCCCACGCTCTCTCTGGGTGTACAATAGAACCTCGGCCTGGTGGGAGATGGTGGTGCCAACGTACACCGATGAGCAGTGGATACACATAGTAAACCGATACCTTAAATTGGGTTCTGAGATGGACAGGGAGCCAGTGCAGGGCAGAAAGGATCGGAGTGATGTGGCATGTTTTTTTGGACCGAGTAAGCAATCTGGCTGCAGCATTTTGGACCTGTTGTAGTGCTTGATGAAGTTCTGCATTCATCATTTTAAGACCTTTATTTGTTATAGCCTGGGCAGGTACTGTGAATGGAAGTTGCACTCCCATTTTACTCTTAGGAACCACGTGACGTCACTGTATTCTAGCGCCGCCATTTTGGTGTCCGGTCACAGCAAGTCATTACAACAACAGAGAACACGGAGGAAGCAACAGAGAAAGACACATCGTGAATAATAAAGTGTGTGGATATGCCTGGGATTTGTTGTGCTGTGGGCTGTGACAATAGTCGCCAGAGGAACCCTGGACTATAGTTTGTATCGATCCCCAAAGACTTAGGCCGTCCTAATAAATGGCTGGCTGCCATCAGAAGGGACCACTGGCAGCCGACATCTAACTCCAGATTGTGTAGTCAACACTTTGTTTCCGGTAAGCTCTTCACTTATTGTTATCTTTTAGATTCTTTTGTCAGAAATAAGTTTTCTAAATACTTCAACATAGATAATTCAGTTGCCGAATAATAATTACCGTTAGCAGTGTAATGGTAACATAGCACGAGTAAAATATTCCCAGTTTTGAAAGGACTGCATTAGTTTTGCTCTGTGTTCCTTTACGCTTGAAACCGACTGCATTTGAATAAAAGACACATTTCTGGGAGAAAACTGAGAAAGAAATTGCCGTTCTCAATATTATTGAATGCATGCCTTAAATTACTTGTGTATTTCACAGGTTCAAACCCCACTGCAGTCAGCATGTCGTTGTGTCCCTGAGACACTTCACCCCAAAGTGCTCCTGTGGGGATTGTCCACAGTATTGAGTATGTAAGTCGCTTTGGATAAAAGCGTCTAACAAGTAACATGTAATGTAATGTAATGTATTTATATTACATGTATTATTGCTACTTTTACTTAAGTTAAGGATCGTAATACTTGTCATTATCTTATTAGGAGGCCTTATACACACATTAATATTCTACCATGTTTGCCTCTGTCTGCTTAGGAAGAAAAAATGACAACCCCATGAGTCCTGACTACATCCCCAGGCTGTTTGGGCACACGTCAGCTGGACAGCGACAGAGAAGCATCTATGCCACCAGCAGATTTGAGCATACTCAGCAGATGAAAAGGAAACGGACTGAGACTTTGGTTCCTGATAGTGACCATGAGACTGTGGCACCTTCCAGCACCAGTGATGCCTCTGGGCTTGACATCACCTTAGTTGAACAGGTAGAATGTGTGAAAGATGACCACAGTTACTCTCAAGCCATTCTTAGCTCAGGTATTGTGGAACCATGTTCAAATGCAGCCTGCCAAGCTACAGTCAAGGCATTGACAAACGAGTGTGCACTATTAAGAGCTGAGGTTAATTGCCTTAAGGACAAAGTTAATGTGCTGTCTTTCAATGAAGAAGCCTTCAAAGGAAATGATGAGATGGTACAGGAACTAACAAGCCTACCAAGCTATGCTAAAATGACGGTTGTTTTTGGCTTCCTGTCTGGGTTTGTGAAAGCCGGTCCAAGACTGACTCCCTTTCATAGCTTTTTATTAACACTGATGAGAATGAGGCTTAACTTATATTTTTTTGTTTATCTTTTTCATATAGAGCAGTGTTGTCAGAATGTTCAACAATACTTTAGATGTCATGTATGTCAGACTGTCACCACTTATATTTTGGCCCTCAAAAGATCAAATGCAGGTTAGTCTGCCCATGTGTTTCGGGGATAATTTTAGCAACTGCACTTCTATCATTGACTGTTTTGAAATGTTTGTAGAGAAGCCAAAGAATGTAAGGGCACATGCTCAAACATACTCCTACACCACAACACTGTAAAATATCTCATTTCTATAACACCACAGGGTGTTACATCCTTTGTGTCAAAGGGCTGGGGGGGACGCACAAGCGACAAGTACATTACAGAAAACTGCTCATATCTTGAGAAATGATCACCAGGAGATGTTGTTCTTGCTGATAGAGGCTTCAATGTGAAAGACACGGTGGGACTGTATAATGCACAGTTGAAAATACCAGCATTCACCAAAGGCAAGCAGCAGCTGCATCCATGGCCGTATCCACCATTGAGGTCACCGAGGTCCGGACCTCGGTAATATTTTCCGAGCTGTGTATATAACAAAACTTGTGAAATAATTGCACTAAACGGGGTTCTTTGTAATACTTCCATTTACTGACGATGGGGGCGCTGCATAACTACGGAGCCTCGATTAAAGCAAACAGAAGAAGACGACATGTATCAACCATCAACAAACCACCGCAGCCCGGACTTCAATCGGAGCAGCGGAGGAGTGATCTAGAGATCTGAGTCCAGCGGGCTGCTTGTGTTTCTGCTCATCACAGGACATCATATGACCAGCAGATCCTGTGTGAACGCTCTACGTTAGTCAGTGGACGTCCGACAACATGCACACTAACTTATATTGCAGCTATAGGCTATACTTTGGTTTAAACTGCGTGAATAAACTAGCTAGAGAGCTACAGTTAATTACATTCATCCAATGTCAGAAGGATTACCTTTTAACAAACGTTGTAATGCTTTTCTTTTATTTCAATTTGAGTAAAACATTGAAGATATAACATTGTATTGTTTTCTTTTTACACTGACTCAGATATAATGAGAAGACTACGTCAGTCAAAGCTCAGCTTTGGTAAGGAAGAGACAGGACAGGCAGAGAGAGAGAGAGAGAGAAAGTGATGGAAGTCAGGGAGGAACTGCAGGTATAGTCACACAAAATAATGTAGGCTTAACAACCCCATATCTATCTATTTATCTATAACAATAGTCTTCATTTACAATAGGCATAATTTTAAAACATACATCTATTGCAGTTATGATGTCATAACATACAATTGTATAAAACACAATTTGCTTACATCTTTGTTCTCTTTTGAGAATCAAACAAAACAGATTTAAATAAAAAAAGAATGCAAACAAACAAGTGAAATGAACTAAATTGCTGAATTGCTTTTAATTCACTGGCAGGAGCGACAAGTGAAGAGGAGCAACAAGTGAACAACGAGGGAGAGATTGAACAAAGAGAAAGCGTAGAGGACAGAGAGAGTAATGAACAGGAAGAAGACAGAGAGACTCAAGAAGGTGGAAGAGAGGCTGTAGGTTATGGAAAGGAGAGAGACATGGAAAATGAATGTTGACCAGTGGCGAGCCGTCAGGGCCCTCTGTGAGGGCCTAAGATATTCTACAAAATAATATTTAAAAACATTAAAACAAATTATATATATTTTTAGTTATATTTTTCATTAGTTTTACCAAAATAACTTGATTTAATTGTAATTAAAATAACATTTCCAAAGAAATAAATCCTAATAAATCTGCCTATTCAGTTTATGTTGGAATGTGAAGAGTTAAATGAAAGAAGCTCGTCTCTGCAAGTTACTGTGAAGAGAGGAGCTGTTGGACGTCCAGGCGGTCCAGCTATGAATTCACAGAGGGCCCCGCTATAGTAACTGAACGAGAGAGTAATGTCAAATGACAGTACAATTGACCAATCATATCTTCCCTCTGAATGGGTGGGTGTTATTGTCACGGACTTTATGACAAGTTCCGCCCGCTGTGAAACGTTTCTTGTTTCCATAGCAACAACAACTTCCTGTCAACAGCGTTAACTCGCCTTCAAAATAAAAGCATGCCAAATTACACTTAAGACATACAACTGCAACGAAAGTAACAAACACAATGCAATATCCTTTTCAATTTCAAAGAACACAAATAGGGTTATTTACAGGTGTTGTTTTGTGTGGTAGAGGGTCGCTTTCATTGATGCGTTTTGCACCCCGGGCCGTTGTTTTGATATTCCGCTGAAGTATACGCTGTGACGTAATAACTCGAGGGTGGGGGTCAGAGGGCCTAGGTATAAAAGTCACGGCTTGCCACTGATGTTGACAATGTTTTGTGATCATTTTAGCCTCTTCTGCATGTCCAGATCATTAATAGTAACAATCAACTGATTCTTATTATGTATTACACTTTCAAAATAATTGATGCTGACATTGTCAGCCCACCAGTGTTGGGGAAGTTACTTTTAAAAAGTAGTGTTTGCTCGTTACTCGTTACTTATTTAAAAAAGTAACCCCTTACTTTACTTAGTTACCCTGCAAGGAAAGTAACTTTGTACGTTACTCGTTACTTTTACGTTACTTTTATGTTGCTCGACTTTGGGCAGAACTCCATCTTTGTTCCTAAATGTGTAGGCTTACATAAAGTTCTACATATATGGAGGACATAACAGATATTTCTTTTGTGCTCTTTATTATAAAAAAATGCCACAGAGCACTTAACAAAACATTGGGCTATCAATATCAAATATCAATATAAAATCATAATCATTAAACAGGCTAGCCCCAAAATAGGTGCAAAGCTAGTGCAAATCATATCAATAGGCTCCTTAGGAACAACATGATAACCTCAAAATGGCTCATGTGTCTCAAAATAAAACATGCCTCATGTAAATCCAACAGAAAAAGAATAACTTCAAAATGTCTTGATATCGATGGCTTGTGTAAATAAAATAAAATGGCATAATACAGCTTGGAAGCAAAGACATTTTAGCCAAAATAAAATCAAGAACAACTTAAAGCAGGACTGGCCTCAGAATTAAAAGGCTATGTTCACTGCATATGCTCACCCTTCTTCACAGTATGATGGCAGATAAAAAAAAGAGGATATTAGGCATAGGCTTGAGCTATGTCTATAGCATGGGTGGCAGGCAACCTATTCCACATCAGTACAAAATGTGCGATTATACCTCATCAGGAGCAGTCTTTCAAAACGTTTATCTGAGAGTCTGTTTCTTCTGGGGGAAAGCACAATACCTCCCAGGCTGAACAGCCTCTCCACCGGTGCACTGGATGGTGTGGCAGTGTTGTATTTCATACACACAGTTTTCACTCGGGGGAAACGGTTGAGGACTTCTAACTCTGAGCCTGATCTCATGTACTCAAATACCTCCGAGTCTGCGCTAATGGACATTGCGTCTTCCTCTTCCTCATCAAAAGAAAAAAAGTCATTCTCATTGGCGCTGCTGTGTGCGGCGGCTTCTCGGTTTTTATTGTTAGCCGGCTCTTCATCACGGGGTAGAGTGCGACACTCCGCGATGAGCAGCGCACGCGCCGCTTCTCTCCGCTCCGCTCCCACAATCCATCGAACTTTAAATTTCGGCAACGTCAAGGCAACCAATAAAGCTTCACTGCTCTCCAACACTGGTGCGAATCGCGTCCTGATAGCCTAGGACAAAATTATATAGAACAAATAAGCCTAGTTTTCAGACACACGACTCACTAGAGCTCCATCAGGGGAGGCATAATGCATTTATCTTAAGAATATTTATTAAGAAATGTCCGTTAATGGATAGGCATATACATTTATATCATAGACATCGTAGGCTATATATGATGTATATGCCTAGGCTACTAACTTTAAGAATCGGCTTACCTGTACAATTACACCCGGTAGGTTTGCTGTCATCCTCGACAGTCCATTTTGGAGTGCCATTGTCCTGGACATCAGGGTCTCCAGGGTTGGTAGAAGAGTCCCATAGTAGCAGTTGTCTTCCCCTTGCAATATATCCAGTGCTACCGTCAGGGGTTTCAAAACACTGCAGTATTCCTTTAGGAATAGATGTTCGCGCTCTGTCGGGGCTCTGATGTCCAGTCTAGTACAAAGCGTATTCAAATCTTGGGCCGGGATGTCACTGATGCGGGACAGGGCATCGTGGAAGGAATTCCACCTTGTTGATGTAGGCACAATCATTTTTTTTCCACAGATTTCATCGACAATCTCAGAGGCCAAGGTAGAGCGGCTCGCCTTTGTCCAAAGAGCAGCGCACTTTGCCGTTGCACTCCTGTACACACATTTTGAGTCACTGTTGGAGGACAGCCATTTGTCGATGTCATTGCACGAGATCAAATTGAGTGTATGCGAAGCACATCTGAAATGCGGGGGAAGAGAAAACTGTCCTTCTGTGGCCCCAAGCAACTCTTCCACATCTGTGAAAACGACACCTTGCTCGTCATTATCCTCCTCCTCGTTAGGCTCAGGCGGTGCATACATCTTGAAAGCTTTAACAAAATTAGACCCGTTGTCTGTAACGGTGGCGGTGATCCTATGTGAAAGGCCAAATGCTGAGTGAATCTGTTCCATTTCAAAGCCTATAACATCATATGTATGCCTGCCCTTTATTCTTTTGCATGCGATGGCAGCTTTCTCACGTTTAAAGTTGCATGGATTGATCCAGTGCACAGTGATTCCCAAAAAGCTTCTGTTATGACTACTCCATATATCCGCAGTGGTTGACAGATACGGCAAACTCTCGAACGTTTTCTTTAATTCACTCTCCATTTTTAGATAGCATTCATCCAGATAGCCAGTGAACGTTTTACGATCTGACCATGGGCGCCTGTCTCCTGTTATCGGTATCTTGCTAAGTATCTTTCTGAAAGTGGGAGATTCAACAGTATTGATGGGCAACATTTCTTCGACGATGAACGAAGCTACAAGTTTGTCCAACTCTTGTTTAGATAGGAGAAACTGAAGTTTTAGCTGCTTTGGGCTTGGACTCGAAATATCTTCATTTCTCCGGGGATCTTGAGCTACTAGCTTCATGCTAGCATGTTTTCCTCTCAAATGCTTGATGAGGTTGGCAGTTGAATTAACGGCAGTGGACAAAAGTTTCTGGCCAGGGCACAACGTGCACCTTACACTCACATTTTTCCCCTTATTGTCAACAAGTTCGAAGTAATGGGAATACCTCCATCCCTCGAATGTTAGCGTTGGCTGCGCCTGCTTCTCACTTGCCGTTGCCATCACTGCTCTTCAGTCTTCATGCCACCACCAGCACGTCACGTAGCACGTACAGTGTGGAATGAGAGCTCGTGCCTAATGCGTAAGCACGCAGCTGAGTAGGCAGTGTCACTGTCACTCGTAAAAGTAACGTTGCGGAGAATTGAAGAAGAAACTACGTTACGTTACCAAATGTTTCGTAGTAACGCGTTACACTACGTTTTACCCGAAAAAAGTAGTTACGTTACTGTAACGCGTTACTTAGTAACGCGTTACTTTGTAACGCGTTACAGTAACTGGCCAGGGCACAACGCGAGTTGGGTGTAACGCGTTACTTTGTAACGCGTTACACCCAACTCTGCAGCCCACTGACATGGTTTGAAATCGATA